TACCCTACTGGCGTCCCAAATAGGTCACCTATATACGCCATCAGCGTCTTGATGGGTCCACTTAATCCCTATCGGCGTCCCAGATAGGTCTACTTAATACCTGCAGGTCCACTTATACCTCACCGGCGTACCGGATGAGTCCACTTAATCCCTACCGGCGTCCCAAATAGGTCCACTTATACCTCACCGACGAACCGGATGAGTCCACTTGCATACTTAAATTATTTCTAAATCTCTTTAAATATTCGAAAGCAGGAATATCATGTACTCAACATATCACTGAAATCATTAATATGAATTTCACTTAAACCATTAATAACAGTCACTCTCTATAACATTTCAAAAATAACCAATCAAATATTTTGGGCTCAAATTTAGAAAGGTAGCAGTTTGTAAAGGCATTCTAGCATAATTGCCAATTTAATATGTATAGAAAAAAAAAAACTCTTATAGAAATTAAAAAATACGGAATTATCACAATTTATGGGATGTTAATTTACAAATAAACATTTCATAACAATGCTTTAATCAAATGCTAATTAGGCAGTCATTTGCACATGAAATTTACAATGTCTAAATATTTGAAAACAGTAGAAAGAAATCTCACAATTTTACTAAAAGCAGAAATATCACATTTATTTCTAATAATTTGATAGTATCTAAAATTTTCTAACAATAGACAAGAAAAATAAATAAATTTATTTCTCTAAGAATTTATAGCATTTAAAATTTCTAACATAGATAAAATATCACAATTTTTATTCAAAAGATTATTTTTCAAGATAATGAGGTCACGTGTGCATAAAATTTATCGCGCCTAAAATTCATGATAATAAGCAGAAATAATTATTTCATTTCATTTTTAAAAGAATAGATTATTTTTCGAGACAATGAAGTCACTTACACACAAAACTTATAAAATAAAGATCCTGGACGGAAATATCACTATTTATTAAAAACAGACTATTTTTCAGGAAGATGATGTCACTTACTCACAAATATTTGAGAGGGAGCTTCCGATAAAAATTCGGCTCAAGAGAGGAGTTCACTATGTTTCGACCAGAGAGAAAAATCTCATAAGTTTTCTAAAGTAGGAGTCTTCACCTCTCTGAATTTAAATTCTACTAATATATTATTTTATTCTTTCGTTACGTTACAGGTGTGAGCGTTAGTTTACGCTTTAAACACCTAAAGCTTTTATTACGTTACAGGTGTGAGCATTAGTTTATGCTTTAAGCACCTAAAGCCCGCGTCCTTTAGTGGACGTGGCAAGAGCAAGAAACACAAAGCTTTTAAAAGTAACGATGGTCCCTAAGGACCATCATGTTCAAACGAATTATCATGTATTAATTAGTTTTTTTTTTTTTTTTTTTTTTTTTTTTTTGAAAGTTTAGGATTGTTACAGCCTGTTTGGGTATATGGATTTTAAGGCATGGATTCCTAATATCTAGGATATTGTCAAAATCCACCATTTGGATTGCTCATTGACGAGAATATTTAAAATCAGGAAAAATAAAATCATGGAAATAAGACTTAGTTTTCCATGATTTCATTTCCACACCAAAACCTGTTTTTTTGCATTTATAAGGATTTCACTCATAAGCTCCCTCGACCTGAAACTTAAGGAGCATTTAGTAGATATGAAAATTTTAAAACGAGAAAGTACCTAAATTTTTTTTTAAAAAAAACTATCTCAAAATTCAAATTTTTACTTTTAGAGAGAGAAAGTATGTTAATTTAGTAAGAGAAAGTATGTTAAAATTTTAAAGAGAGAAAGTACCCATTTTTTTTTAGAAGATGAACTATCTCAAAATTTTAGAGAAAGAAACTATCTCAATTTTTAACTTTTAGAGAGAGAAAGTGTATTAAAATTATATAGAGAGAAAGTATGTTAAAGTTATATAGAGAGAAAGTATGTTAAAATTTTAGAGAGAGAAAGTATCAAAATTTTTTAGAGAGATAAACTATCTTAAAATTTTAGAGAGAGAAAATATCTCAACTTTTAAGTTCTAGAGAGAAACTATCATATTTTAGAGAGAGAAACCATATGTAAATTTTTAGAGAGAGAAGCTATTTCAAAAATTTAGAGAGAGAAACAATATCATATTTTAATTTTTAGAGCGAGAAACTATATCAAATTTTAGAGAGAGTACCTACAAATTTTTAGAGATAGAAACTATCTCAACAAATTTTAGAGAGACAAACTATATCAAGTCTTAAGTTTTAGAGAGATATTATTCTTAAAATTGTAGAGAGAGAAAGTATTCTTAAAATTTTAGATATAAACTATTATAAATTTTAAAAAGAGAAACTACGAAAAAAAATTAGAGAAACATCTCATTTTTTAGAGAAAGAAACATCTTGTCTTTTGGGAGAGATAAACTATCTCGAATTTTGAGTCTTAGAGAGAAACTATTTCAAATTTTGAATTTTAGTGAGAGAAAAAATATTAAAATTTTACATATAGAAATTATATCAAATTTAGAGAGAGAAACTACCTAAAAACATTTAGAGATAGAAACTATCTCAAAAATTTTGGAGAGAAAATTTTATGCTTTAAAGAGAGAAAATATCTTTAAATTTTAGAGAGAAACTATTTACATGAAATTTTTAGAGAGAGAAACTATCGTTAAAAAAATTTAGAGAGAGAATCTATCTCAAAATTTAAGTTTTAGAGAGAGAAAGTATCTCAAATTTTAAACTTTAGAGAGAGAAAGTATATCAAATTTTAGAGAGATACTATGCTATTTCAAAATTTTAGATAGATAAACTCTCTCAAACTTGAAGTTTCAGAGAGAGAAAGCATATTAAAATTTAAGAGAATAACTGCATCAAATTTTAGAAAAAAATAGTTCATAAAAAAATTTAGAAAAGAAACTATCACAAAAGTTTTAGAAGAGAAATTATCTCAAATTTTAGCTTTTGGAAAGAGAAAGTATCTTAAAATTTGAGAGAAAACTATATCATATTTTAGAGAGACAAAC